TCTGATGGCCACCTATAAGTTTATCAGGGGTGACCACCAGTATCTGGGGGAATGTTTGTTCACCAGAGCGCCCCAAGGGATGACAAGGTTGAAGGGTTATAAATGACTGCAAGACTGTTTCAGGCTGGACATAAGGAAGAACTTCTTTACTGTCTGAGCCCCCAAGGTCTGGAACAGCTTGCCATCATAGGTGGTTCAAGCACCTACATTGAACACCTTCAAGAGTAAATTGGATGCTTATCTTGCTGGGCTCCTATGACCCAGCTGACTTCCTGCCCTTTGGGCAGGGGGGCTGGACTTGATGATCTTCCGAGGTCCCTTCCAGCCCTAATGTCTATGAAATCTATTAAACTGGTTTCTATGTAAAGTCTGTCCCTAGCCTTCGTGGTCAGGGAGTTTAGCAGCAAACAGGGAGATCTGGATTCTGGTCCCAGGACTATTTCTGCTTCTTACCCCTGGGCCCCTGGGAAGCAGCAGACTTCCCAGGCTAAGGGGTTGGGGCAGCAGATTGCCTAATGAAAAATATAAGCAATTCAGGGAGTAGAAATGAGAACATAGTTTCTTAAATCACTATTCAGAGGTGCCTACTGGGTGTATTAAGAGCCTGGGCACCTAGCCCTGTTTTCTGAATCAGACTTTTGCAGTTACCAGGCATGGTGAATCCAAAATTGGAGCCCCTGTAGGCATCAACATGGATAGTGCCCAAAATGATACTAAGTAAATAATGTGACAGCTGGAGAGGTAAGGGTGTAAGACAAAGCCTGAGATAAGGTACAACTTTAAAAAAGCAAGATGTTGCCTGAAAAGAACATTAAGGCCATGACAGAAAGCAGGAGAAACAAAGAATTTCCACAATTAAGGAAAAAATGTATCCTGTTTCTTCAACATGCAACTCCTTTCTCTGACAAAATAAATTCAGAATGTCTGTTGTGGTGTAAAGATACTGAAACTGATTATTCTGTATATTCACTTTCTTTATATACCACTAGCAAACATGCTTATTTACATATTTTCACATATCTAGTGCTATATGAGAGTTCAAATTAGTCCTGCTAATTTTGCTATTGACTACAATAAAAAAGGAGAGGTGGTAAAGGTTTGAAATAAAAAATGAGCAAGGTTGCAATCCAGCAAAACATTTAAGTGGGTGCTTAATTTGGATTGCAAAAAGGATTAAAGTTAAGTATGCAGCATAGAATGTTGACACATCAGGGCTTTATTAAATTTATTCATCACCATGTTCATTTTTTTATAACAAAGAGTCTAAAAACTGAATTTTAGGTATGACATTTATAGACTTCATCATTGGGAGTCTCCCCACCCTCAACCCTAGATGGGGGAGCTCAGAGTCTGTTCTATTTAATATTAGCATAGACTGCCTTACCCACCTGTGTCCTAAACATAGCCCCAGGAGTCCCATCACCCCCAGCTGGAAAGCTCCAACCCTTCATGATCCTCCAACCTTAACTGTACCTCAACCCTAAACCTAGCTTGGGCTACTGTAACAGCCCCAACCCCAACCCCAGCCCTACGCAGGAGACCCCAGCCTGACCATAGGAACTAGCTTGGAGAGCTCCCAAACCTTGTCCTTAAGCTGAGCCAGATCCCCAGCTGCCATAACAACAACTGGAACAAGAGAAACCTTCCCACCATAGAGCCTGGTCCCACCACTGGGAGCACTCCCACAATCAACCCTTGGTGGGGTCACAGGGTACATCATACTTCTTGTTAGCATGAATTGCTGTACCTACCTGTGTCCTAAACATAGCTCCAGGGGTGGAAACAGATGTCACCTGATATCTCATTGTGCTGCCTCATATTTTTTATGACAACACAAATGCTGATCAGACAGACATCATCACCCTTTGTTACACCACATAAATGGAAAATCAGTAGCACAACAAAAGGTGGTATTACAGTGATGCTTTATTGGGGTGGATGTTTATGCTCTGTGATGCTTTCTCTGCTCAGTCAGCTCCTGGCATGAGTCTAGCTCCTAAACCCCATCCTAGCTGGGAGATCTACAGCCACAACACCCACTGGAGCAAGAGGAACCTTTCTATCCCAGAGGCTTCCCCCAACACTGGAGCCTAGTGATTAGGGACTCTCCTGACGTGGGAAATATATGTTTTGAATCTCTGTCAACTTAGAAGAGCCTATTACCCAGGTCTTCTACCTGCCATTAGGTTCATATGCTAAAAGTGGATACCAACACTAGGCCCATATGGACCCCTCAGAGGAATAACTAGGTATACTGGGTCTTGGATAAAAAGAAGAGCTTAGACTTAGAGTCCAATAAGCCCAGATCTTCAAAATACTTTAGAAGGTAGGGAGACCAAAGTCCCAGATCTTTAAAGTATTTTGATATTGTTGGTTGAAATATATCACAAGAACTTAATGCAATTACTATTTGATGGATAGAAATGTTGAACTCCTGACTCCACACTTCACATTAACTTTTATCCATAAGTCTGGGCAATAATATTTGGGTTATAGCCTCTGACAGAGCTGAAATAGTGCAAATGCCACTAAACCTTGACAAAGGCAAATTTTAGAAGGATAGTACCTTCAGCAAGCATTATTCTCAAATGTATTCTGGGTTAATAAACTCATTTGTGCTTGGCTTTATTGCTTTGGTAATACAACAGCATAGTAAAAATGGCTTTTTATTGAAAAAATATTTGAATGGATTATTTTGATATAAGTAGCAACAATTCCAGTTCTGACTAAACTGGATACATGTCCTTTAATCTTATGATGAATCATACACATATCTTTTTAATCAGCATGACAGATTGCTTACTATATCTCCACACATGGATAACTTAAGAGCAAGGTATAATTTTCATTGTATCTGTTTATTTAGCTGCCAGTCTGAAGAACGTTTAACTGAGCTATAGGTATTATTTCAATATTATTTAAAAATGAACTAAAAACTCCTTTAAACAGTAGTGATAGGAGAAATAATGTTTCCCAAGGCAGCAACTGAACTGAGCCCTTTGAGAGTCTGCTGGCGATACCTGTATATATCTTCCCTACATACCATTGGTATTAGAAATGCAAGTAGCTTCTTATTGAAACTACCAGTTTTCTCAGCCCATGAACAGTCTTCTAATAAACTTGTACATTTAGACTAAAGAGGTAAGAAACTGTCATGCAAAACTAATGATTTTAAATGATAGTGATATAAATAAGAACTATTTATGCTGAATACGCTTTATGGTCTGAAGCATAATGACACAAACCTATTTTTATTCTTCGAATGATGCATACTCCCCATCTAGGATGATGAACCTGAGACAAAGTTAATTTACATCTTATTGTTTATAAAACAGTACAACTGCCTCTTTGCCAGGAAAAATAGCTAGGTCTCATTGGCTACCCCTTAAAGTAATTATACTGTATGGCTTTGGGAAGCATCTCTGCTCAAGAAATGGATCAATAAAACAATGTGAATTCATTTTTTGTCAACTCTAATTCCCCTCCTCTTAGCCCTTGAGAATACTTTGCTGCAGTCACTCTGGTCTATTTTTAATGTTATCTATTCCTTTTCCTTTGGCATTTTAGAGCATCCATCCCTGTAGTATCTAGGTACCAATGTGCTTCTAGTGTAACTTACAGAATATTATTATCACTATTAGCTTGTATCTCTGCTAAAAGATGAAACAGTTGTCAGATACTCTACACAGAAGATTAGAAGGCTTTAATCAATTTTTACAGTATGTACTAAGCTTATTGTTCTTCTCTGCAAGTAAACATAGAAAAAATACATCTAATATTTGACTCCTATTTGTCAGTGTGAATATATCCTTTTGCTTGAAAAATCATTTTTTTTTCCTGAAACAGAAATGATGGTGACACTTACGAAAGACATCTCCTCTTAGGCTTTGATCTTGACCAATCTGGTTTTCAAACCCTTCTTGTTCTTCTTCTTCCTCTGCCTCATCTACTTCTTCCTCTTCTCCAGCATCTTCACTTTCTTTTTTTTCATCCTGGGCTCCACCAATGTAAACACCACCTTCGTAGTCCAGTGACTGCAGGTGCAGCTTGGGAGCTGGTTCTGGGATCACATTCTTGATTTCTTCATGTTTTTTCACACTGTTTTTGTGTGAAAAGAGTTTCTTGATTGTGTCCTTGATGACTCCAGGGATTCTCGGTATTTCCTTCAGTGAATTTTCAGGAATAACTAGAACCAACAATGAAATATAAAACAAATATTTGAATGTTACCAGTCCACTCAAGGACTATAGGACTTTTCAACTGAGGATGCAAAATCTTTTAAGATGCTGGGTGGCCAAATTCTTTTCTATCATATACAGGTGCAACTGCATGTGGAGCTAAATCTGCATACACTAACAGTGAACTAGACCCACAATACATACAACCGTCTCCTATTGTTTAATTACAGATTCATAGATTACAGAACCAGAAGGGACCATTGTGATCAAGGCTTTCTCCTTCATAACACAGGCCTTAGGACTTCCCTGAATTAATTCCTGCACGAATGAGGGCATATCAGATGTACTAGTGACCATAGTTAGAATCTGGGTTAGGAACAAAGATTGGAGGGTCAGGTATTATTTTTATGTCATGGGCTACTAGGCTATTAAGGACCCACCTCTCAAACTGAAGTGTAGGACATATTTTCATGGTCATCCCCAGATGCTAACAAGACCTGAGCAAATCTAAGGCGCTTAGAGAAGAATACTTCCTTGCATATAGACTACTCACATCAGTGGGTCAGTAGACTTTTAAAATGGCTTTTATAATTGAATTTTGTACAGCATTTGGGGAGGACAAAAGTAACTGACAATGAAATATCCTGCAATGTAAGGCTTTCCCTCCATGTTCTGTTGCTTTGTTGTTATGTAGCTAGAGAGGAATGTGTTGCTGTTTTGGCTTTGCCATGATTTTTAAGTTAATTTTTGAGCTGGCAGTAAGGGCATCTTTTTCTTTGCTTGTGCCTGTGTGTCTAATTTTAAATATATGGGAGTACCAGAAACATCATCAATGAAGAGAAGTGTAATAAAATGAAATAAAATTTTTAAAAAAATCAAATCAAATAAAATCATTAGCTGTGTAATTTAGGAAGAGGAGAAAATTCCCCTGAGATTACATTCGCTCCCATTTACCAAGTTGTTATTAGTTTGAATTTGCCCCACATTCCTTAAATCATAAGTGGCTAAATTTTATTTTTAGTCGAGAATCCCTCTGAAGCCATTGAGCACACCAAGACAGACTGCTTTGAGCTGTTCAGATTTTACAAGGCTGCAGCTGCAGGTTATACAGCAAGCCTGTGCCAATAAAAATAAATCAAGATTGCACATTTTATTTTTTTCCCTTTGAATAATGCTTTTGGGCTAGTTTGCCAGGTGCCTCCACATCAAGATTTTGCTAATGTGCTGCTTAGTGAGCCTTCCCTCTGGAGAATGGCGTTATGAAGAATATATTGTATAATCTTGTCGATGTGGTTCATGAAGTCTTTACTCAGAACACAAAAAGAAAAATTAACAGGAAAACCCCATTCCCAACATATTTCCCCTTGACAATCAGTAACATGAAACTTCAGGCTTTTAATAAAGAGGCTGTGGACGTTTCAAGCCAAGGCTGACTGCCTAGCAAACCTGAACATCTGCTTTCAGTTTTTTCCTTTGAAGTCTTCCTATTCAAATGAAAAATTCGTACAGTTCAACACTGTAGTGTCCAAAAAACAGCCTCGTGTTAAGCAAACCAGCCTAAAGATATGAAAAAATATAGGACTGAAGGTGAACAGTCCACACAGGCCTGCAGATTTTGGTTTGTTATCATGTTATGAAAACCTGCGTGTTTTCATACTGTCATCATGGGTGGATGGATACGGTGCTATAGACAGATTTTAGAGATGAAATCAGCAACCCTCTTTCCAATATGTCTGCTGTTAGGTAGCCGAAGGTCAATTAAGGTTTCTTTTGTTTCACTGTCAATCACAGCTCGAGGAGTCCTTCCCAAGACATGGAAAATGTCACATACAAGATGTACAGAAGTCAGAGTTTGCCAACTTCCACCTATGGACATTATGGGAAAGAGCAGTATACAAGATGCTAAGCCTAAGAATGTGAAATCTTTAGAAAAACTCACTATATAATCCTGCATGCATTATTAACAAATATTCATGCACTATTTGTGGGTCATACTGACATTTTAAAACAATGAAAACAAATTCATTTTCCCCTGCCATTCTTGAAACGCCTCCTGCTTGGAAGTGTGTGGATTACTGTCTGTTGTTCGTTGATATTTTGTGTTCATAATCATCACTACATAAAAATGTATCAGTTTTTTTTCAAGTCATGTCAATTATTTCAATCAGAAAGAATAAAACAAAACGGTCCTTACAAGCAACCATATATATCTAGGTTTGTGCTCCAGGGGTGGGTGGCACATCCCCTGGTGGCCATGCAACCCTTACCCTGGCTCCAGATTTAGGGTGCCCTCCCCCTCACTTGCCCACCATGCCTTTGATGTAATTGTTTGATTAGAAGGGAGACTGTCTATTAGGGCCTAAAGCGAGCTCCAGTTCCTCTAGTTGCCAGCAGCCTCAGCAGCCTCCAAGGCCAGACTGCCCCTTCTGGCTCAGGGCCTGTGTTTATATACCGCCCTGGCCATGCCCCCTGCTGGCCATATGCCTTCCTGAGCTGCTGTAGGTTTCTTGATTCAGCTTGCCAGCTGAGCCTCAGGGGGGCTTATTGCTGCTGGACCTTGCTGTGCTTCTACGCAAGACTCTGGTAGGTGCTGACATCAAGCAAACCCCCCAGTACCTGTCCCTTAGCAGCCCATAATAGGCAGCTTTCCCTGCCTGAGGCTCTCTCCGCTGCTCGTTCACCCTTAAGGTACCAGAAGCCTTCGGCTCTCTGTTACACTATACCAGTGGTAGATAATAACTAAAAGTGGGTCCTTTTTGTCCATGGTTTTGTGTAGCCTTAGAAGACTAAGGAAATAGGTTGGCACTGGGTGGCTTATGATTAGGATAAGCTGAGTGGGAAAGAATGAATACAGAGCAGCTGCCACTTCCAGATCTTTCTTGTGTACTATAAAAAAGGGGAAGGGGGTGTTCATGAGAGCTAGAAGATAGACATGGACGTGTGTTTCATTATCTGACAAGTGGCCCATGGACCTGGACTGCCATCATCTGAAGCTTTGAATGTAAGAAACAAATTCTAGTAGAAGAATAATTGCTGCTAATTCTTACAGGCTACACATTGTTTCTACCCAGACACCTAATGTAACATTAGAACAACTCATGGGTGAAAATTCTGAGTTCAGTTTATAAGACAAGTATACGGCTCCTGTACATAAAAGTATCCATCTACTTTCACTGTCATAACTGGAGGTTATCCACAACACTAAATTATGCTTAATATATGAATAAGGCAAAGAGCTATTACATAAAATGAAGAGTTATTGAGTAAAGGGTCACAATAGTAATTTTAAATTGAATTCTAAGAATGATATGGTTAATAAAAAGACATTATTTGTGTTGAACTTTCTTCTCAGGGTATTTTGCAAAAGAAAATGGTGCATGAAATTTCTACCTTCAAGCCTAACACTATCTTTTCATTACTACCTTGGTATTTCATGCAAAGAAAATTAATTAAAAGACTTGTTTCATATTTTCACAAGAATTATTACTACTTCCGTAAACTCTTGTAAACCTATTCCCAAATATAAGGCTGAAACACACACAGAAGTGTATGGCAGGGGAAATGTACATTGTCAATACATAATCATAAGGCAGGAAATGTATATGCCTGACAAAAGCACTGGATTGGAGTAAGATGAAGGCCAGATGTGAGACTGGTGAAGACGCCCTTGGGGGAAAGTGAAAGGGTTAAACCTTTGTAGCTTCTCACATGAAAAGTATGCTAGAGGCTGTTCAGAAGCCCACACCAACATGCTATTCATGTCTGCTTGCTGAGTGGTAAATGCGAGTCTGAAGACCCACAGACAGATAGTATTTATGTATTTGATATTCTGTGTTGTTCATTGTTATAGCAATTTCCCACTATTTCAGTATCTAGATAGCTAGATCACAAAAAACCACAAACATCTGCATTTTACATTAACTAACTTCTTAAATTATTTGAGCAATGTTAGGTTATTTAGCCACAAGAGTCTCATTACAAGCAATGAGGGATATGTGGCTAACTTCGCATATAATAGTGCTTTGAAAATTAAGGATAAAGTTACAATTTCTTTTTCATGCATTAAAAAAATTGAATGCCATTGCAATGGACAATCATTCATAACAACTGCTATCAAGGTCTAGTGATTCTTCTCTCCAAATGGATCACTGTTTTAAGACTAATTGTGCTGGGTAAACTAAACTAATAGGATCCTTTTGAAATCATCTTCAAAACTCCCATTGATTTTAACAGAGTTAAGATTTCACCAAAGAGCATTTAGTTAATCTACTTTACTCTCAATTGTTACCCAAGTCTCTCTTAGCATCATGATTTCTAAAATTTCCTTATCTTGAATATATGTTTCTTTAACTATAGTTGCATACATTTTTCCATTGGCACCTTTATTTTGGTATTTCTCTGCAGGCTTCTAATTTCTATAGTTTTATTTGTATTGTTTCTTTCTTTCGTTCCTGTCTCTTCTGCATTTAATATAATTTGTAAATGTAATTAGTGTGCATCTTATTCTGTTTTCTAGATTAATAATCCTCAATAAAGACAGAACATGAGAGTTTTGTAGTAAACACTCTCAAACTGGCAAGGAGTTGGAGCAGATAATCTCATAGAACTTTTTCCCTCTGATATTGATGATTTTATAGGACCAGCTCTTTTTGAATATGTCATGGTCTCTCCACAAGTATATTTCACTTGTTCTAATTTAAGTAACTTTTAAAAAGTGCAATAGAAGGCAGGTTTACATTTGAAATATTCATGTTTAAGCAATAATACCTTTCATTTTAGACTGATCCAAAAAAGAGATTATTTCCATCTTGAAATTTTAAACTTATCATTGAAAAAATATTTTTTTTGTTAAGAAATTTATCATAAAAAATGAAACCTTTTAGCATTTTTTAATTTAAACTTTCTGTTTTGGTTTCTTTTCGGTTTAATGCAACATTAAACTGAGTCAGCATACGTCAATACATGACAGACTTGCCTATCAATTAGCTGTTCCAGTGCATCCTGGGAGGTATAATCTGGCCATAGTTTCATAGTTTCTAGGGTCGGAAGGGACCTG